GTAATTAAGAATGTCGGGATGAGACATCCTGGGTGGGCCGGAGGGACCACAAATCCAAAGGTGAGGTCCTTGTATGAGACGAGAAGAGGAGCACACAGAGGAGGAGGCCAGGTGAGGATGGCCGCAGAGGCTGAGCGACACAGCCACAAGCCGAGGAACACCTGGAGCCACCAGAGGCTGGAGCGGGGGAGGGAGGGATCCACCCGCAGCCTCCAGAGGGAGGGTGGCCCTGCTGACACCTTCATTTCCAACATCCGGCCTCTAGAACTGTGAGAGAATAAATTTCTCTTGGTTTTCAGGCACAGAGTTTGTAGTCATTTTTAACAGCATCCACGGGAAGCTAATGAAATGCAGGAGGGGACCCGGAAGGATGGGTCAGTGGGTCTTTAAAAATCCAGGATTTTTAACTCGTAACTTTTTTCGACTTTGTATGTTCTGTTAGGACTGCTCAAATTACTGTATTTTAAAGGCACTTGGAATAGTTCCTCTCTGTGGTTACACCACCAAATACACAGTTAAGTTCGTTGGTTTCACTTTACTTTCAATTTTTAGAGATTACTTTTTTAAAATGTAATTTTGCTTCATAACAACATAAAATGTTTAGAGAATTTAAAAATCAGATTAAAAGGTACGCTCAGAAAAGCCCACCTTAAGCTCTGCCTCTTCCACCCGTTCTCCACGTCCCCCCAGGCGCTGCCCACCTAGCCGGCTGTGCTGGTGTCCAGGAAGATCTGTGCTTTTCTTCTAACGGATACCATAAGTATCTCTGTATAATAGTCTTAGTCTTTTCTGGTCTGGGCTCTTGTGTATTGGTTCTCTACTGTGATCGATATTGGAATTGGCTCATAAACCCTTCTTCCCCTCTCCCTCCGCATCTGATAAGAATGTCATCTGACTCCAGTCACTGATTATGGCAATCAGCAAGTCAGCTCCTTCCCCGTGCACTCCCATTCTCTGAGTTTCTGACAGCTGTGCCTACACTGTCAGCCTCAGACACGATATCCTCCAGCACCCTCCTTACACCCGTATTCACTCTCAGTTTTGCAGAGAAATACACATCCAGTCCCCCGTACTGGTCCTCACGTTCAGCTCTCCAGTCCTCTTGTCTGAAGCACTTTCTCCATGTTCCCTGAGGACTTGTGTGTCCAAACACGTTCCTGTGGGGCCTTTATTCCTCCAGGGTCCCCTGCCAGCCAGTACAGTGCTGGGCGTGGACGACAGCCAGGCGCGGCGGGGGCATGCCAGGCTGCAGTGGCGGCACACACTTCCCCTTCAAGCTTCTGGGCCTCGCAGCCCTCGGAGCGGAGCGGCTCGAGTCTCAGCCACGCTCTCTCCACCCTACCAAGTGTCTCTAGGCCACACCCTCTGCAACCAGGGACATTCGGGGACAGTTCCAGCCTCTTACCCCCTCCAGCAACAACAGGTCCCTTCCAGAGAGCAGCCCGGGCCACACCGAGCCTATTCCCCCACTGCCAGCAGGCGGCTTGGGCCCCTGGTGTCCAGGGCCTCTTTGGAGAGGTTGGAACCTTGGCCTTGGGGACAGGGAGACTCTCCGAGGGTCCTTCCTGCTCCCCGAGCTAGCAGCTGTTACCTTGTACCTCCTTTACCTCTTTCAGTAGCTAAGCACCTCGTACTAGTTAATCTGTTACATGAAATGTTCCCTCTTCTACCTCCTGCGGAAAGCCTGACTGCTTCTTCAGAACATGCACATCTCCGGTCTGTGCTTCGTCGTGTTCTTTTGCACACGCCTTTGTTGCCAAACCATTTCCAAGTTCTCAGGAAAATAATCTGAAATATATTCATTGGCACTGTCATTTTGAAGACTTTATGAAAGGAAAACACAAAAAGGATCTTGGATGCTTATTTCCATTCAAATGGACCAAGGGCTGGTCCACACCGCTGTCCAGTAAGCTCCCCAGCCCTGCATGCTCTAGAAGCAGGGCACCCCAGGGCCCCCCCTCCTCAGAGAACATCAGGCCTCTGCTGAGCACATCTGCCAGGAGCGGTCAGCAGGGAGCACAGAGCAAGGTCGTCTGCATTCCTGCCAGTCACCAGCTTTGAACCAAGAAAGAGAAAAGCCACTTTTCTAACTGCCCATCCTCCCTGCTACTCTGCAGTCTCCAAACAGACTTCTTTACTAAAAGAGATTATTTTACTGCTACGAATTTCTTACACCTCAGGTCCTTACAAGACAGAGTGAAGAGCAATAATTAAACAGGCCCCACGAAGCATCTGTCATACTAAATTTCCACGAAGAGAAAAACTCACACTACAGATGCATGTGGTTAATAACAAGCTGTATTTGGTGCCAAGGTTTTAAAAAGCACTACTTTGACATTAAAATGTGTTCTTCTCTGTATTAATGGTCTATGTCTTCAGAGTCTTCGAGGTTTTCTAAACTGTCCGCTTTGGAAAGAAGAAATCTGAAAGTCCTATCATGCCATTCTTTCTAGATTCTCTGAATTGGAAACAGACAAAGACACTTATCAGTCATTTCTCACAGTACATTAGTAAAGTTTTTATAACATGCAATATAATTTAAAAGGCTTACCTTAAAAAACTGTTATTTATGATCTCTTATCAGTAATTCTTACCTCCAAAATAAAGCATTCTATTTTCTTATACAAAATGTACAATAACTGTACATTTATTTTAGGCAAAAATATCAGTATTATATTCATAATTTTTCTTTCTTAATAACCTGTGGTCTCAGGAAAGTAGAGGGTGTGACGACGCCCAGCGGGGTCCAAGTCTGGGGCTGGTGTCCCAGGGTGGCATTAACCGGGTCAGGGCATTAACCAGGGCCGTGAATAAAAGGGAGAGAAGAGGGCCAGGGACGGGCGCCCCCCAGCGAGGGCAGGGTGGGAGAGGGCCAGGAGGTGAGGGGAGGGACGCAGAAGTGTGGGGCAGAGGGAGAGGCTGCGGGAGGCAGGTGAGAGCTGGACCACCCTCATGACGCTGATGTCAGCCAGGATGATGACATCAGGAGTGACACAGAGAAAAAGGGCAGCTTGGGAGCCAGCTCCGACGAGGAGGGAGGGTTAGAGCAGGGGTGGACGACAGAACCAGGCAAGAAGGCAGGGACGATGGAGCCCAGAGGCACAGCCCACAGCCAGCGCACCACAGGGGAAGGACGACTGGGGGACCAGCCCCCATCGCCATCCGCCCCCGATCCTGGCTCTACGGTCCTCGTAGCACTCAGCACAACCTGCTGTCTCGGAATCTGTGTCTGGTGTCCGTCCATGCCACAGGGTGACCGGGGTCAGGGGCATGGCCTGTCTCACTGACTATATCCTGGGCACCTGGACCAGAGCCCGGCACAGAGAAGGTGCTCGGCAGACTGTACCGTGGGAGAACTATTCAAGACGAAAGGTGTGGGGCCCAGGGACCAACGTCCACCTGCACTCTGGGGGTGGTGGCCCGGGGATTGGGGGGAAGGGAGTGCTGGGAAAAAACCTCAGGGCCCAGTCCCAGGGCCCAGTCTCTCTTGTTCTCCAGGGGCTGGAGCCAGGAGGCGCCGGGCCCTTTCCTGCCCCTCACCTGGCCACCCTTCTCTCCAGTCCCCAGGCTCACCCCTCAGAGGCCCCCAGGGCCCTGCTCATGCCCAGACCCCTCCCCCTCCCTTGGAGGCTGTCCCCTTGGGCTGCCTCCACTGCCCCTCTGCACACCCCACCTGCCTGGGCCTGCTTTTCCTCGGCGTCCCCACAGGCAGTACAGGCAGCTATTTGGTAACTGTTTGAGGAATGAACAAATGAAGCACTTAGGCAGGATAGAAGAGCTTTGTTCCTTCCTCCTCTGAGTCTAGTCTTTCAAGGGAGGATTTGTTCATCTTTTCAAACAGTATTATGGGTGAGCAGAACACTGGGCAATATATTCAAACACTAGCACCAAGTTGCACTCAGGAGCAGAGCCTGTCTAAATCACGTGTGGCCTGGTGCAAATGCAATATAAAAATGCAACGTACAACGCGCCGCATAGCAAGTTCATCAGACCAAGAACTGTGTACGAACGGCCTCAGGTTTCTGCAGGTGACGCTGCGTCCCTGGCACTAAAGCCTGGCTGTCCAGCAGCAGTCATCAGTTTCTACATTTCACTGAGGAGAAGCAAATTGTTTTGTACTTTCCAACATGCCACAGTTTAAAACCATCTGACATACTGTAAACAGGAATCAAGGTAATCGAGGTAATCTGAGGATAAACTTTTCTTAAGGACAGGATACGTTCTCTCCCTCTGAGTCTAAAGAAAACTGAACCTAAGTCCTGCACGGGTCTGAGCCACAGATGAGGAAAGGCCGCCTTCCCAGGTGACGCCTGCTGCTGCTGCTGGTCTTTGAGACACAGCTCCACCTCAACGCCTCTCGGTATGCAGTGCGCGCCTGCTCACCTCCCAGCAAAGGCAGAATTAATTGAACAAATTTATCTCAGAAGAGACGTGACATTGTGAAATATATATTTGGTCTCTGACCCCACTTATTTCCTGGCATGTGACTCCTAAGATCCTTAGAATTTCCAAAATGATCTATTTTGTGCGCCAGTAAGTTGACCGGTGGCTGCAGCCCCTATGTAGCTCTAGGATGGGGATGGTCACCAGAAAGACCAAGGCAGGATTGGAAGGTTGGGACTTCCAGCCCATCCCAACCTCCAGGGACGGGGGAGGGGCTGAAGGCTGAGTTGATCCCCAGTGGCCATTGGTTTAATCAATCATGTCTATCCAATGAAGCCTCCACAAAAGGCCCAGGTGGACAGGCTATGGAGAGCTTCTGGACAGCTGAGCACGTGGAGGCCACAGGAAGGTGGACCAGAACCCATCCACGTGAAGGGAGGGTGGTGCCCCCAACTCCACGTGCTCAGGACCCTTCCAGACCTCACGCTAAGTATCTCTTCATCTATCAGCTGTTTATTTGTATCCCTTAAAATATCCTTTGTAGTACACTGTCACGCATGTTTCCCTGAGCTCTGTGAGCCACTTCAGCAAACTAATCAAACCCAAAGAGGGGGTCCTGGGAACCCCGATTCCTAGTCAGAAGCACAAGTGAAACAACCTGGGCCTCTCGAGTGGCATCGGAAAGAGGGGCCAGTCTTGGGGACTGACCTCACCCTGTGGGATCTGATGCCATCTCCAGGTAGATAGTGTTGGAACTCAATTAGAGGGCACCCAGCTGGTGTCTGCTGCAGAAGCCATTGCTCGCTTGTCGGTGGGGAGAAACCCCCACATTTGGTCACAAAAGTCTTCCGTGTCGATCGTTGTTGTGGTGTGAGAGTGGAGGGAAACCGTGTGAGTTTCTCCCTGTGAGGGAGAAGTGACAGGAAGGAAATTCTCCCACACTCAGCACACCTGGACCCCAGAGCGCACACACTTACATGCTTTCCTTTAAATTGGTAAGATAGTATTCTGTCTCCCCAGCAGAGATGTCCGGGTCCAAGCCGGCCAAGTAGCGGTAGACGTAGGCGTAAGTCTCAAATGGGATGCGAGCAGGGCCGCCGTCTGGGTCTTCAGTGAGGATCTCGCACAGGTGCTTCATCGCGGTGTTCAGCGACTGCAAGCACACAAGCCAGGTGGGAAAATGACAGTTACTCCTGGAGTCACTAAAATTTAAAGCAGACACCAGCAGAATAAGCACCCAAGTATATTTTACAGAAATTCTCCAAGAGTTCTCCATCTAAATTAAGAATTAGGTCAGGCCAGGTGTGATGGCTCACACCTGTAGTCCCAGCACTTTGGGAGGCCGAGGCAGGAGGATCACTTGAGCCCAGGAGTTGGAGGCTGCAGTGAGCTGTGATGACGACGTAGAGCAAGACACTGACTCTTAAAAAAAAAACAAAAAAAAACGAAGGTTTGAACAGGATGTCACTGGCCAGAAAAAAATTTTAATTCACAGATTTTATTTTATATTAAAATGAGAATGACTGTTAGGGACAAGAGGAAGCATCATTGTCTTTAAAAACAGACTTCCTAAGCCAATGAAGACCCATGCGGCCCCGTCAGGCCCAGAGACACACACCCAAGGACGTGCCCAGGGACTGAGCAAACTCTGCTAGCAACCGGGGTTGTTGCCTGTGGGGCGGCCCACGTGTCTGCCAGGAGGCCCCTGCCCAAGCAGGCTGTGGAGGGCCCAGGACGGTGCCGGGCCTTTCTCCTCTGCGGACCAGGCAGCTCCCTCACGTTCCTTCCCACTCTGCTTCCTCCCAGACGGGCCGCAGCCCCAGCCTGCACTTTCAGCCCATCCTGGGGCAGCCCTCCCGCCACAGCATAATCCTCCAGGGCACCCTGCCCTCCCCTTCACGCTCGGTGGCAGGGTCAGCCACAGCCAAGGTCTTCCTCGGGAGACCAGAAGCTTCTGAGCACGGGAGCCGCGTGGGCCTGGGCACCACTGACGGCGGCCTGGCGTCTGGCCCACGGCCTCTCACCTCCAACTCGCTCAATCAATCCTTGGTGAAAAAAGGAGCGTTTTCTTTTAAAAGGAGGGGGTAAAACCCTGTAACGATAGATTACTATCTTTTAAAAACCAGAATGCATAGCCCAGATCTCCTTTCCTCCTTCCACACCAGGACACCACGACCTGCAGCCTTCACCACCCAGGCCGGGACACACTGGACGACAGTGATCTAATCCCACAAGCGGCGCAAGGGACCTACGTCCCCATCCCCACCCCCAGTCCTTTCTCGGAGCCCATCCTTGCCAGAGTGACCCTCTCGCACCTGCCTGGGCTGTCGTGCTATTACTGAGGAAGGAAGGTGAACTCGCAGGTGGCCGGTTAGCTGTGACACCCTCGCTCCACACACAGGACAACACCTTCTCCTCAATCCCACCATAGTCGCCAAACGCCTACCACGGACAGGCACGTGGCAGTTGACACTCATGCCTGCTCTCACGGAGATCGCCGTCTAGTTGGGAGAGCCAAGCAACACCTGGATTCTGGAATGTTCTAGAAGAGGGCATACCTGGAGCAGCAGGGTAGGAAGTGCTGGGGGTGGAGGCTGACATTTCTATCAGGTGGTCTCGGAAAGTCTAGCTGAGCAGGTAACATTCATGCAAAGACTCAGAGGGAAGGAGGCAGCATGTGGGAAGCTGGGAGGGGGCCAGGTGCCCCGCCTTGTGCTCCACAAACAGTGAGGAGCTCTGTGTAGCTAGTGCAGGTAAGGGAGGGGCAGAAATGTGGGAGAGGAGGCAGCAGGGTTGGGGGGCCAGGTCATTGGGGCCCCTACAGGCCGAGGGAGGACTTGGGCTTTCCTGCGTCCTATGGGTGTTGAAGGGTTTTACACCAAGAAGAAATGCTACAGAGAGTCCCTAGGGAGGCCCCCTGGCTCATGTGTGAAGAGGTGGCCCCAGTGATGAGGGTGGAGGAGCAGCCCAGGGAGGAGGCTACTAGAATAATCCGGCCAGAGCCCAGGGGCAGCAGCCGGAGGGCTGAGGGGGGTCTCCCGCCTGTCCTGAAGGTGGAGTCAGGACTCACCAACATCTGGATATGCGGGTGGGAGACGAGACGGTGTAAAGTGCTCCGCAGCTTGGGAAGGGTGGATTTGCTGCTGACCGGGTTGCGGGGGAGGACGGCAATTTCCAGGTGGGAGACAAGCAGCTCAGCTTGGGCTGTCCGTCAGGCCCCACGTGGAGGGCCGACTGAGGTGGACACCAGGCCTGACCTTGGGCAAGAGGCTTGAGGACCTCGGGCTGGCAATGCCACATCGAGAGCACCAGCCCACGGTGAGACGACGTTTACAGCGAAGGGCCCAGGGAGACCGCCGAGTGGCGGGGACAGGGCATGGGGAGAGCTGGGCCAGTGCGGCCCAGTGCGGAGAAAGGGCGGCCAGGGAGGGCAGGAAAAGCAGGCAGGGGTGTCGACAGGGAGTGAAGAAAAGCCTTTCAAGGTGGACAGAACAGTCGCCTGTGTCAAATGACCAGAAAGGCCAAGAACGATGAGGACTGGGGCTCGGTACTAGGTTTCCGCACAGCAGTGGTGTGCTGGAGCCAACTGTTAAATTTCCAGGAATTCTGCAAGCTGGATGGCTTCACGCTGTAGCCTGAAATCAGCCGTGGCGGGAGTATTTACACCACATTAATTGGCAAGCACTGCAAATGAGGGCTTTCCCCCAGAGAGCAGGCTTGAAGCATTCGCCAGACTGCTCCTGTAAGGGGACAGAGTGCAGCCACGCGGAGCCACCGTGGGCAGCAAGCCTCCCAAGCCAGGCAGAGTCGCCCAGGGCGCTGCCCACAGGAATGAGTGCAGGGCCACACACAGGAGGAACGAGTGGGAAGAAAAACAGTGGATGGGGCAGAGCAAGTCCCCATAGGAAGGCTGCAGACGTAGGAAGAGTGCTGGGCAAAGCCACACCAGGGCTGTGCGATGGAACAGGGGCTGTGCTGAGAAAGAAACCCGATGTCCCTGGGGATGTGCAAAGGCTCTGAGCCCGCCCTGGGCTGCAGGACTGAGCTGCAGTCCTCACCCAGAATGACGAGCGCTAGGAACAGGGCTACCAACCAGCACAGACGGAGCACGTGCCGTGTCCCAGGCAGGGGCCAGAGCCTGACGGGGGTCCCCATTCTGCTCCTCTCGGTGAGCACTGCGCTTATCCTTGGCTCACACACGAGGACTGCGGGGCCCTGACAGATTCGGGGATGGCCCAAGGTCACCTAGAATGCAGCCATTGTGCCTCTGAGCTCCTTCTGGTGACCCCCACACATTGCACCGCCTGTAGCAGCCCCTGGGCTGGCTGGGGGAGCGAGACGCAGGGCAGAGAGGCCGCCCCACTCTGGGATCCAGACATTCGGCTGGAGGCGGTGAAGGCCTGAACACAACTCATCTCCCTATCGCCCTCAGCTGGGACCCAGGCATCTGTCCAGCGGGCCTGCCATGGTGTTTCCTCCCATTTTCACTCTGGAATCCCACTTCCCACGTGAGCCAGGACTGGTGGCCCTGGCTGCAACATACAGCCGAGGGCGGATGGCACACAGTTCTGGTGTGAGCTTGCCTCTAAGAGGCGAAATGACGCTCTAATTAGAAAAACGGATTGTGCTCGTTCCGCAGAGCAGCAGACAGCTCTCCAAAGACGACTGCACGAGTCACTCCTTTAAAAGACTGCCCTGGAGAGAGGATTCGCTAAAAGTAAAGCGTATTTTACAATCCATGTTCCTTGCCTGAAACTTCCAAAGACATGTTGTGCTAGAATTTACTTTTACATCCAGCACAAATGGAAGCAAGTCACTGTCACGTGCAGAGTCTCGGAGGAACCGGGAGGAAGCAGTTGGCGTGGGTCGAGCAGGCAGATGAGATCTGCGTAACATGCTGTTCAAAGGCTTCAGAGGAAGAGGTATTTAAGGAAAAATACATCAAAACATTCTAGCATCACTGCCTCTGCAAAGGCGTGATGACACTACTGATGTCAACGTTTCTGACAATAAGATCGCAGCAATTTTTATATCCAAAAGGATACATAAGGCAATTTGCTCGATCCTGCGCCGAGAGTTACGTTTCTTATAAACACATTTCTCAACCCCAAAGGGTTGCTCATGGCATGGTGACTTGCTCAGCAGCCGGGGGCCCTCTCCGAGGCAGGCGGCGCCCTTGCTAACCTCCTGCCCCTTGCCAGTTTATTCTTGCGTACGGAAAACATGCCAGGCAGAGGTGACTGGCAAGCTATGCTTTGATTTTAACCAAGTATCTACACCTGATCCATAATCTGAAATTAAAATGGAGATGTGCGAAAAACCTACTCCTTCCTGAGCATTTTCAGTGTGCCAATTCTGTGGGATTTTTCACCGTTTCAGAATTATATCTGCTCTTATAATGACACTCGAAGCCTCTGAAGAGCAGAGTCACCTCACACCTCCCCTAGGGAGCCCTTTAGCAAGCCTGGGAACCAAAAATGTGACCAGTATCTTGAACCACTTTCCACAGAATCAAACAAAGGAAGTCCTGCTCCCTGAGGTGTGGCCCGCCTGCGCTTAGGGTGGACACGGGCCGTACAGTGAAGCAGCGGCACTGACCCAACCTGGCACTTTTAAAAGCCTAAGAGCCTTTTCATCTTATTTTATTATCCTCATCTGTTCTCTAAGTTAAAACACACTTCTAGGGCTTGTGGCCAGTGAGGGTGGGAGGTCCCAAAGTAGAAGGAGCCCCCAGCCAGGTGGCTGGGTTATGGTCCCAGAGCGAAGCCAACCTGTCTAGCCGGATGCTGCCCATGTCGCTGTGCAGGCCCGGACCGGGGTCCACGATGGCCAGCAGCAGCTGATTCATGACACTCTCCAGAGGGACGGTGGTGAGCTGGTGGGAGCTCACGCCCTCGCTTTCCTACCCAGGGAGAGATGGAAGCAATGGGGCAGCTGGGGAGAGCCCAGGAGCGGCTCCTTCCTCCTTGGGGGCAAGTGAACAAAGGGGCCTGGGGCCCCAAGCCCAAAACCAAGAAGGGGAACCGGAACCTTTCAACGGCTACAGCGGATAAAAGGAACCTTGTTGGTCTTTCGTGCACATCTCAGAATGGGCTTTTGAACCCCAGTTGGGGAAACCTGAAAGGAAAGCGGTAGGGAATAAGCTAGGATGCAGCCGCGGTTACTGGGACAGACGGCTGCCACACTGGGACAACAGCGTGCAGCAATGGGTCAAAGACACCAGATCCAACTGCTACAGCGCAGCTCTAAGGGGCCACATTCGAAGAACTCCGAAGTGAGAGCTGTTAGAGGCTGATGGTGAATGCTTTTCTCAGGTTTGAATCATTTTAGGACACAAAATGATATTAAGGAACATCCTTGGGAGTTGTTACTCTCTAGACAGGAAATCACAGGTGTGACCTCTAAGGTGGTCCTAACCTGTGGGCCACACACTTTTGGGGCTACAGAGACACTGGGAGGGGTCACTCTAGCTCCCACTTCCAAGTCACCTGCTATGGCTTACTTGGCCTACCTCTGCCACACGCACCAGCCTACAATTGGGCAAATAGTACCTTCTTCAGAGGCGCATTGGGAGGATGAGAGAGACTACACACAAAGGGCCCTGCACACGGGGCCCACAGTGAGAGCGCTAGGAATCATGCCCATCGTCAGCACTATGTTCACATGGAAAACCGCATTAGACACGTGCTTATTTGTAGTTGTAAGAAGAGAGAGATGCTCCTGTGATTAATAAAGTCCAAATGCATTTAAAAGTCTGACTAAAGTCACCGTTACTTGTTTCACTGTGTGTTTTTTATCATTTATGGATTGCCCCTGCCAGTGCATGGTGGGATGGAAGACCTCAGTTCATGATTTTATGTTAAAAAAAAAAAATCTCTGTGCTTAAAAAACAAAACAAGACATTTTGAGCTACAGCTTTAATGCTTAGGATCATAAATGGCATGGCAGAAGTGTAAAGATAAAAGTCACAACATATAAATGTGACTGTTTCACCAGGCAAGCATACCAAGACCTTGGGAAGGGCAACAGGAATCATCTGACACCCACGTTCACCTGCCAGGGCTGCCCACAATGCCCCTTCATCCAAACTGGTAGCTTTTGGTAATAACTACAGCAATGTTCAGGGCTTCAAGGCTATAACAGAACATCCGCTCAAACAGCCCGGGAATACTTGCCAATGTTGTCCACTCCAGAACCTTCAGCATTTCCAACAGGGCCTAGCTTAAAGTAGTGCTTGGTAAACAATTGTGGAATGAAGGAATGAAGGAATGATACATATGACTCAGAAATTTAAGCAGAGGTTTCCAGTCTTTTTAGAGATCTTGAACTCAATTAATTTGAGTAGAGCGATTTCTAAGAGAAATTTAAAAGCACAGAGTATATATCTGCCACAAGCATACGAATGCCATGGATGTAGGAAGTAGGAATAATACCTATTGTGTTCATGTAGGCAGCAACTACATGCCAATTTTACAGCATCCTATGTGAAAACAACTTAAGCAGCAGTAGCCCATTACAAATTACTTCTCATCTCACTTCACTTCTTCATTTCCTCCTCTTTGTAGCTATTTTTGAAAAGCATAAAAATAAATGCTATGACGCCAAACTACATGAAGAAACACCTCCTTGAACTCATAGCTTCGTGTTCTTGGTGCACCTCCAAGCTGCCCAAGGCCAACATGCCGTCAGCAACACAAGCTCCACACCGAGCCTGGCTGGCTGGGTGCCTCCCGTCCCCATGTGCACAGAGATGGGAGTGTCAACACATGGCCAGCTCCTGTGGGGCCAGTGGAGGCCAGGGCAGAGCAGGCACCTCTCGCAGTAAACATGAACCCCAGGCAACCTCACATTCCTCTGGGGGAGGAGAGGATCAGCTGTCACACTTGAACCTGACCCCTGAGCTGAGAGCCACGCTGGACCAGAGCAGAGGTAGCCGGGGGCTTTCCACGGCCAAGAAGGGGCCGCAGGCACCCAAGAAAGGAGTCAAGGGCAAACAGCGAGCCCTACTGCCCACGGTGGCTTCAGTTAGGAAACAGGCAGGAACCCACAGCGACCCACAAGTATGCTTCTTGATGTATATTTATTCCTTACTATAATATCAAGTAACATATAAGAAGGAAATAAAAGACCCCACATTGTTTGTGATATCTCTTCCCCAGTATTCAGTCTGTAAGGCAAAGCTCCACCCGTAACAAAATGTCTCCATCTAGTGTCATCCTGTGTATATGGACAAGAGACCTGATTTTCCAAAGTAGATGCACTTTTGTTTTAAATCTAGTGCTTAATTTTCATGATTAGGGAGGTGGAAATTACAAAGATGGACCGAAAAACATGAATTATTCTACTCTCTGTCATCATTGTTAAAATCAAAATTTCACTACTAAAGATAGAGGCAGATACCATAAACATTAATTCAAATATGAGATACTAATTTTTATCACTAAAATCTTGATTTCACAGAGTTCCAGATGAGCAAAGTGACATACAAGTGTCTCCAATAATTAAATTTATTTTGTCTCTGTTCTTCCCAATAATACCCCCCTGAGAGACTCCCTTGGTGTCATCCGAGCCTGTCTTTGCTGCTGGAGGAAAGCGGGTCTGCCAGGGTCCAGGCCCTGGCACGGTTGGTCCAGAGCTCACAGAAACACCCACACTGCCTCGGGCCAGTCACACAACAGACCTGCTGCTCACTGCGCAGCCCCAGCCTGCCCCCTGCCTGCACTGAGGGTACAGAGCTTCCCACGGGGGCCATCAAGAGAACAAGCCAGCCCCAAAATGTTGGCATAGCGGACACCACCCAGCAGAGGAAATGAGTGAACCACAGTGGTCTGTAATGATACAGAGGGACAAAGGTTCCAAAAGATTACTAACGACACAATTATCTTTTCATCGCATCAAAACCAACTCAAATTCAATAATGTATTTCTTGGGTACATACAGAAGTATTTTTTTTACAAGGCATGGGAACGGGAAGCACGAGCTTCAGGCCGCTGGGCAGGACGATGGGACGGGAGAAGAGAACACAGGTGGCCGGGAGGCACTGTCGGAGTGTTAGGGACCACGCTGGGTAGGTTCGTGGGTGTTTACCACATCAAGGAATCTTTAAAAATTAAAATTGAACTGAAGAGGCAAATGCAAGGACTCAAAGACGAGTGTGTGCCACGCATGAAGCAGGGATTACGAATCACTCAATTATGGACTGTGGGCTCCACAGACTGAAGGGAGGGGAGACAAAACAGTTCACCCACACGGTGAGGGGGCCAGTTCTCTTTCCCAACCCCCCGTGTCTCCGTAAGCTTGGTGTGGTCATGGTTCCCTCGCTCACCACCACGTCTCACAGCACAACTCAAACGCTTCAGCTGAAAAGAGAGATTCTAGACTTCCAGAGGAAGTCCTGCCAACATCTCCCCACCCCAGCCTTGCCCGGCCGCGCACCCTGACCTCCCAGGTTCCCCGCCTGTCACATCGCATGGAGTCTAGGGTCATCCATGTCTTATTCCTAAGTTGTCTGGGTGACATTTTAACATCAGCAAAACCTCACTGTATGGATGAGTTATTAACAATAGATTTTAACTAAAGTAGAAAATAACTTTATGCCTCTTTCCATAGAAGAGGAAGACAAGTATTATTGGTTTATAAAATGATGCACAGTTTTAAAAAGTCATTGATTGCATTCTCTTCTAAAACCTAAACACGTTTTAATAGTATCCATATCTGTCATCTACTGTTAACATCTTTTAAATTGAGGTATTCATAAGTATTTAATTTCTGTAAATTAAAATAAATATATGCCTGAAAATATAATAGACCGGTGGGGCAAAAAAAAAGCTGCTTTTCTAAGACAAAGTTACTAAAGTAATGAAAGTGTTTCTTTTAGTTACTGAAACCTAAGTTATTTTTAAGCAAGGCCTATGATTACACAGAATTACTAATATGCTATTTATAGATACATACCCCACCAAGCGTGCTACATCCAAGTGCTAAGAATTTGATCCACTCAATTTGCTTTTTGCAAGGATCCAGCTCCAAGACAGCTCTGAATTTTTCTATTGGTAGGCACAAATTTTTCCACTTCTGCTCAAGATCTGCTAAATCCACCACCTGCTTGTGGCTACACTGTTTAGAAAACACAGTATGACACAGTTCATGTGAGTTCTAAAAACCTATGAAACAATATAATGCTTGTGAATACTTAAACATACAGGAAGTAACCCACCCAGTGCAGGGGAAAGATGAACTCTAAACTCAGGACAGTGAATTGTGTCAGCCCTGCGGAGGGAGGGGGGGAGAGGAACACAGGCAGGGAAGGTGGCGGCTAGCTCCATATCAGCAACATGTTATTTCTTAAAAGAAAAAAGGACAATGGACAATGGCATAACATTATGATCTAATAAAATGGGCATACAGACATTGGGTATATGATTCTCTACTGTCTGTCTCAAACACTTTACAATAAAGACCAAACCTCAACAAATAAAATAAAAACATTTAAAAATCCAGCCCCTGGATTTTTAACCACTTCGGTACAGCGCACACCAGCCGCGAACCCTTGCCCACAGCCGGCCCTCGTAGTCCACACGGTAGTTTGTGCTGTGCATTGACGACGAATCCGTTTTGCTCGTGTGATGAGGAAAGCTTTAAAGCACTGAAAGCTTGTTTTGCTTTACAGGAAGCTTTACTTGTCATGTAAATCAGAATAGGTAACATATACATACATGTTTTTATTATGTTATTTTTAAATGTTCACGATTTTATTGATAAATGAAAAATTATAATTAATTCTAATAAAAGCTATAAAAGTAAAAGCTTTTGGCTGTCGACTAAAGTCAACGCTCGGCCATATCACGGCTGTCGGCGAAGGTCGACACGACGCTCGGCTGTGCACGTTCATCTGTGGCTATCGATTACAGTCGACGCTCGTACCGAAGTGGCTAAACATGTAATAGTTAAAAAGGAGAAATCTTAAAACTGAAAATAAATGTGTTTCTTCTACTATTTTAAAGAGTCTATGAAAATTGATAATTCAGTGATCTGCTGGTAGTATCCTGAGTAAAAAAGCTCTGAGCAGCTGTAGCGTGGCTGTTCCCAAGCCTCACCGTTCAACGGTTCCTAAGATAGAGAGCCATGAAAAAGCTCTGTCTTCCCAACTCAACGTGTCCTGCACAGGAGCACAAATGTCCGTGGGAACCAACAACTTTTAAATCAAGGTTATACCACTGGCATCATTTTTAGCCACACCAGGAATGCCAAACCTTGCTCCACACTACACTTTCTATTAACTTAATTCAGTTAATTAAGTTAATTCTATTAACTTAATTCCTCTAAATTCAAGATGGTGCGCAGGGAGAAAGAACGCGAGGGCTCCTGGGGCAAGGCAGGACGGGAGCTGCCTATCAGCCCAGGCTCTCAGGAGAACTGGAAACCACAGGCCACTGCCCACTGTGGGGTGCAAAAGGGCAACTCTGTCTTTCAGATAAAGAAGGCAGATTATTACTTTAACATGCACACAACTTTTATAAACATGTACTACAAAAACGGACTTGTAACACATGATTCTGGAATTTCGTATTTTTTTGTCCAGCAGAATCTAGTATCATCTTAATTTTGTATTGAAAAGAAACTACATTTCACTTTTCTAAAATCTATTCATGACTAGCTATTTCAGGTCATGTAAACTAGAGAAAGCCCACTGAATACAACAAAGTCCTTAATTGAAAAAACCCTGAAGCTCCTTGGCAGGGAAAAGCAGGGCTTCCAGGTGGTTCTGTCGTGTGCTTATGCGGTGGGCCCTGCTGTGTCATCGGGCTATGAAAGGTGCAGGAAACAGTGAAGAAACGCCAGGTGACTGGTGATCTAGACACTCTCATACCTGCTTGTGCAAAATTTTCAGGAGTCCTGGAGTCAGGCCTGTGTCTGTTTTCTGGGTTGCCACGGGCATTTCGAGTCTGTCCTTTATAGGAAGTGGATCTCCTCTTGACAAAGCTGTAAAATATCTAATAACAACACACATCTGTGAAGCCTCGTCAATACACAAAAAGCACCTTGTGCAATGTGGTTTCTCATACAACCCAGGAAAACAACAGTGATTAGGGAAAAGAGCCCTAAAGTCCAACAGCTCCAGCTTACGTCCTGGTTCCTCCACTTAGTTCTCTGACTTAACCTTCTCTGCCTGCCTCAGTTTGTCTGTCTGGAAAGTGGAGATAATGAGAGTCCCTGTCTTAGGGGTCTCAGGAGCACCGAGTGAGAAAGGGCTGGCACAGTGGCTGGCACTCACGCTGACTGAACATGTGCTATTCTTATCAAGCAAATGCTATGAGTGTTTCTGAAATATCACCAAAGGAGGTAGGAGATCCCAGAGCCTGGAGTGATCTAAATGCAATGTCATGGTATCATCATCCTACTCTGGACAGTTTGGGCTTGTTCTTCCCTTTTCCTGGTCGTGCTGCTCTTTGAAGTGTTTAACTTTAAGCATGTCTGCATACCCAGCTCTCAGGCAGCCCAAGAACAACACACAAGCCATCTATTTCTACACTGGGAATGTCAGATGCTGGCTTCTCTCCCACCTTCCTGCCTGCTACTTTCCCCCTAAAGTGTTCCTTTCTGGGTCACTGATATTGCTGCATATGTTGGGGAGGGGAGGGATCATGGAAACAGTTTGGCACACTGTCAAAGAGAACAAAGGGAATGGGCCAGGCAGGTCCTTCTGCAAAACTCACTCCCCTGGTTGCATCTGCCAGAGGTGGCCAAGGCTGACACCGTGTCATTTCCTGCTCTAACAACTTTAACATGACAAAAAGAGATGGCACATCCAGGAAAATGAACACTAAATCTTCCACCAGGGCCACAGGTAATAATGTAAAAGGCACAAGTAATTAGAAATATTCTAACTACTATGTAACAGATCAATATGGATAAATGGATATTTGTTGGACTAAAAAAAATTTCATATCTTGCCCTCTCTCTTTTCACCATGAAAATTTTTGTTTTCATGCATGGAAGACAACTTCAGTTACATTTTGTAGTTTTGTTAATGACTTGAGGAAAAGTCAAAACAAAGGCAGCAGTGAGTTAGACCAACGTGGACCTGAAGACCCATCTAAGATCCTTGGGGCTGGGGTGAGGGATGGGTGCTTTGTTTTGCCACATTGCTCCTAATGGAGGGTTTCACCTATTTCATGGAAGTTATTCCTCATAGCTGACCATCGGGGTCACCAGGCTAGCAATGGCCTCTGAAGCAAGGGTTCTCAACAGGCGGTCATTTCACACACCCCATCCCACCCACATCTGGTAATTTCTGGAGACTTTTTTGCTGTCACAGCAGAGGGTGAGTGGTACTACTGGCATCTAGTGGGTGCAGGCCAGCAGCCCCTTCCCTCCGCCCCTTCATCTCTGGTTGTCAGTAGTGCTGAGCTGAGAAAGCCTGCTGCAGAGGAGAGGCAACTCATGTTACTGTCTGCCAGTACCCTTAGGCACATGTGCCAAAGCAGCCTTTATTGCTTGACCAATTCTTGTGTCCATTGTCCTGTGTGATGCACAACTGCATGACAACATAATGAGGTCCAGCTGACTGTTACATCACAGTGGAGTAGACAGGCTTGTGAGAGAGACTGGCTCATCTTTGATATTTGGCCAGCTGAAAACCTCATTTGGAAAGAACCCTAACCGAGGAAACAGGATTGCCTATCTAAGTATTCTATAGAAGAGTTACTTTCATATGCATCCTGGTTTTCTGTTTCATTTTTAGTTGTTGTTTTTTTTTTCCTCCTGTCCCCACCCGCTCCTTGTGCTGCTTCCTCTGCCTGGAATACTCTCCGCCTTGCCTGAGCCCCACTTTGAAATCTTTCAAAGACCAAGTCACCCTCTGCTCAACTTCTATGACCCTTCATTTATGCATTTACCAAGTTCCCCCTTAACTCAAGCTACTTATGAACATCTCTCTCTTAAAGATTAAATTCTGTGAGAACTGGGACACATTTGAGCCCATTACATACACATTGCCTAATGCATAATCCCTGTGTTTTCTCCTAAATCCAAAAATTGTTCTTGAGAGATACTAGCAGAATGGAGCATTCAGAAAGTTCTCAATCAAGCCTTCTAAAGTGAAGCTTAAAATAACTGTATCTAAAGTATTACCAAATGTAATATTCCAAGAAAAAAGTTGCTAAATCTTAGAATTTTTTGTAGAGTGCAAATAAAGTCTTATAAATCCTGTCTTTTACTTAAGGCTTGAATAATGTTCAAAACTGGAGGCCATAATTTTTTTTTTTTAGCAACAACCTTGACAGAATCTTTCAGAAGCAATTGACAAAAGTGTTTCTCAGAAGGCAAGCACTGGATTGACCAGTAGCTCTGTTGGTAGGTTAAATGACAGCACCAAAGACATCCAGGTCCTAATCCCTGGAACCTGTTTATGTTACTTTACAAGGTAACAGGGACTTGGCAGATTGATTAAGGATCTTAGATGGGAAAATTGTCCTGGATTATCTGGATGGCTCCTAAATGTGATCACAAGTGTCCTAAGAAGAGGGAGGCAGAAAGATGGATATTTGAAGACGCTGGCTTTGAAAATGCAGGAAGAGGCCGTTAGCCAAGGAGTACAGGAATGCAGCTCTAGAACCTGGAGAAAGCAAGGAAATGGACTGGATTCTCCCAAGAACCACCTGAAAGAGCAAAGCCTGCCAGCACCTTGATTGTAGCCTAGTGAAACTCACTGTGGACTTCCCGCCTCCCAACTGTAAGAATATATGTCTGTTGTTTTAAACCTCAAGCTTGGTGGTTATTCATTACAGCAGCCAAAGGAAACTAATTCGTCTTGGAAGGCAGCTATGCTCCCCGCTATACCACCACCGCCCGCACACAATTCATCTTGATTATACAGCTTAGAGAAGGCCAGCAAAGTAGGACATGCTGGTGACTAAAACATTTAAATGTACACCTATACTGCCTGTTGGCATCATAAAAGTGGGCTTTTGTTCTATGTCTGTTCAGTGACAAGGGGCAAAGAACTCTCCTGCAAAACCAAAAGCATTTGTTTTACCGCTTCTAAGGTCTGTTTGACTCGTGCCTTCAAGATTAGGAATGTCTGTCCCTGGAAAGGGTCAGAATGTTCGTGGCAACAAACTGGGAAGGTTCACTCGCTGTGAACTCTGCTGGGCAGAGTTTGTTCCTCTTTTGCAGTCTTGGGATAAAGACCTCAGTATGATTTTGGCCCTCCGGTTCTAATACATTTACATAACTCTGGGAAGACTCTCTGTGGACCAGAAACATAGCTAAAAGATGCCTCTTTTTTAAAAAAAAAAAAAATCTTATTTCACAGATAAAGTGACCGTAATAGTGTGAATTTTAGAAAACATAATGCAGAAACTTTTTGCCCGAGGCAATTGCTGTGTCTGGTCTGTCATCACAAACGAAGTGCTCTCGGCTACTTTGCAGGTGAGTGAGCCTTCTGGCTCGTCAGCGCCCGTCGGCCCAGACCCTAGGGTCCCTGCACGCACACTCAGGCGTCGCCGACGCTGGGGGAGAGCGTCGCCGGGCGCTGCCGGGGCGCGGGCGTCGCGCCGGCCTCGCTGGGGAGGGCTCCCGGGCGCGCCCGGCGGGGGCGCTTACCCCGCGGACCACTGCAGCACGTCGGCGGGCTGGGTGCGGATGGCCGCCTTGGTGAACTGCTTCAGGATGTCCGGCAGCTCCGGAGGAATGTGGATCTGCTGGGCGCAGAACATGGTGTCGGGGAGCGGCATCGCTCTCCGCAGACGGGACCCGGCTGGCGAGAATCAGGCGTGCTGCGCTGCGGGGAGAGGGGCGGCCGGTCAGCGCGGGCGGCGCCGCCCAGGGCCGGCCAGGGCCGCCCGCCCTCCCCGGGGACGGCCGGCTTCGCGGGGCCCGAGCGGCCGGCGGAGGCGCTTACCCGCTCCTCCTCGGCCTCCTCGCACAATGAGGGCCAACCGCCCCTCTAGCGACGCCCGGGACGCGGCAGCTCGCGAGCGCCAGCGGCGCGTCTCGGTATCCCGGCAACCGGGACGCGAGACCCCGCCCCTGGCCGCGCGCACGCGCGCACGCGCCCCGAGCCGGGCGGGACGGGAAGGGGACGCGCCTGCGCGGTCGGGCGCCGGAGCGTTTCGGCCGCTAACGGGGGTTTGAGGGCTGCGCGAGCCCCGCGTTTCCCGCGGCTGAAGGGCGTTTGGGTCGATTTCCCAAAGGGGAATGTGAGCGGCGAATTCTCAGAGGACCCAGTCTTGCCCTCGCCCTGGCAGCGTGAGGCCTAGAAGCGAGGCGACTCGGGGTCCTCTTGGGAAGGGAGCCGTTGGGGTCTCGGGGCTGGCGGGCGGGCGGGCAGCGCGAGCCGGAAGGGGGCGCCGGCCTCCCGGGACCGCCGGGCAGGTGCGCGTGGCCGGGCAGGTGCGCGTGGCCGGGCAGGTGCGCGTGGCCGGGCAGGTGCGCGCGGCCGGGCAGGTGCGCGTGGCCGGGCAGGTGCGCGTGGCCCGGCAGCTCCTGCGGAGCGTCTCCGGCCTCGCGCCTTCGCACGCGCTGCTCCCATCGCCCAAGTCGCCCCTTCGCGAACCTCGGTTCTCCAGACCCAGCTCAAACGCCACTTAAACGATGGGCGGTTTGCAGCTAAAACATTCTACTTACCTTGCTTTCCTAAGATAGGGTAGTGGCGCCCATCTGACTGGGTCTAGGAGGAAACAGACCATTTTCTGCTGTAACAGTTTTGAATCGAAGGGTAGGAGAATCTTCCATTCTGGTGCATGCTGACCAGGGCAGCACTGCAAGGTGTGCCTCCTGGTTTCGGGGCACGGGCTGGCCGCTGCTGTTCACACCTGCGCTGTGGGGGTCAGGCCCGAGCCCCGCCTCCACCTGTTCGCCCCAAGACCGGATCGGGAGAACCAGGGAGCCAGTGTCAAGTTCTCGGTCAAGGGTACTGGGGAGGTTGCCTGATTTCGATCATCTCCTGTAGGTCCACACACCCACACGCTTCCAGATTGACAGCACTGGCAAAAACTAGAAATAGTCACTTTAAAGTTGATGGCGGGATGAAAACAAGGAATCTCCTACACTGTTGCTGGGAGTGTTCATTTAGTACATTTCGGGACAATTTGGCACTATAAAAATTTTCGATGACTTTGCGATATTACTTCTAGGAATTTATCCTACAGAAATATTATAAAAGGTAATACAGGAAAAAATGTTTACTATAGCATGTAATTAAATAGGTTAAGTAATTGTCTTTTGGAAAACTTAAATCATGGCCTGTCCACACAATGGAATATAATACAGCTAGAATTTTAAAAATTAGGTACCGTGTTTCCCCCAAAATAAGACCTACCCATAAAATAAGCCCTAGCAGGATTTCTAAGCATTTGCCCAATAGAAGCCCTACCCTGAAAATAAGACCTAGTGATGGGCTTGGCTACGCAGGGTATCTGCACAACCCATGCGTTTCCTAGCACAGAGCAGTAAAGAAGACGAGCAGCCCTTCTCATCTGCCCCATGAGACCTCTATTGCTGAACATGAGAGATTGGGGCCAATGATTCTAAACGAAATAGAAATTCGCAAGAAATTCAGGATGGAATTCGGGGTTTTGAGAGTTATGATGATGTTCCAGAAAAAGATGACTTAACTGTATTTGAATAAATGTAGGTTGTTGTACCATACTTAAAAATATATATAACACATCCCCTGAAAATAAGCCCTAGGGTGTCTTCTTGAAGAAAAATAAATATAAGACCCTGTCTTATTTTCGGGGAAACATAGTAGCTACTTATGTATTGAAACCATTATCCAAAGAGTTAAAGAAACTAATGACTAGCAGAAATTCTTGAACTTACAGGACAGCAAATAATAATAAAAAAAAAAATAAAAATAAAAACCCAAAACAAAAAAACTTCCTCCAACTTGTAAGATAACAAAACTGGTTGAGATCAGTTGGAATGAACATGGCCAACTGGAGCCTGAAGCAAAAACAGCTTGCTACTTGCTGATGTCATAGCCTGAATTTCCACCCCATGTTTCACACCAACTCCCCTCACTGAGCACATGCAACCCATGAGGCGGCATGAACAGATAACTGCGTATGCCCAAGGACCTTCCAACCCTCCTTCCTTCCTTCCACCAATCACCTACTAATCCCAGAATCCACCCAGCAAACCTTTTCTAGTAAAAGTGCTGCCTTAAAGCCAGCACAGGGAGGCAGATTTCAGCTGGACTCCTGCCTCCATGTTGGTTGACTTGGAATAAACCTTTTCTTTCTCAAAAACCCAGTGCCATAGTATTGGCTTCTAGAGCATCAGGCAGCGAGAGCCTTTTCTTGCTCGGTAACAGTACTAATATGAAAAGATGTCCATAGAATACAAAGTGAAAAAAAAAAGCACTCTGTAGGACAGTCTGTGTAGTATGATATTTTTATTGTGATAAATGATTCTAGGAATGTATGTTTATGCATATCACTGACTGGAAGCATACACAAAACTATTAGGTCATTAAATATGAAATGTCTGATGTCAAACCAAAAGTTTAGTTTATTATATCTCAAAAAAGCAGTACGATTAGTCAAAGTATGCACCTAAACTATTAACACAGTACTATTGACACAGTTTTGCCAACTTAATGGTAGCTCGTTTATGCCAGCAGCAAAGAAGCCTGGAGAAAAAGGGGCAATAAAATCGTGAAAGGTGTTCTCCACATCTTATTGAGAACTGAATATTTTTCCTTGCAAGAAGTGGTCCAAAGCCTGGAAGAAGGGGTAGTTAGGTGGTGCAAGCCTCTGTAGCTTGAGCAGCATTGTTTGTGGGACATGTGCTTGAGCATTGTCTTGCAAGAGGATGGGCCTGTCTGTATTGACCAATGTCAGCTGCTTAATCACAAGCATCCTCATCATTTTGTCTAACTGGTTACGGTAGACATCTGCTGTAATCCATTGATCAGGTTTCATGAAGCTGTAGCATATACAATACCAGCACTGGACCACCAAAAAGACACCATTAGCTTTTTTTGATGAATATTCAGTTTTGGACTGTGTTTTAGCACCTCATCTTTATCCAACCATTGTGCCAAATGCTTGTGATTGTCAAAAAGAATCCATTTTTCATCACACATAACAATAGTAGAAATGGTTTGTCTTTATGTTGCGACAGCAAAGAAAGGCAAGCTTCTAGATGATTTCTCTTCTGATGCTCATTTAATTCATGTGGTACCCATCTATCCAGCTTCTTTACCTTGCTGATTTGTTTCAAATGGTCCAGTATTGTTGGAATAGTAACATCAAACCTGGCTGCTAATTCACACACAGGTTAAGATGGATTCGCTTCCACTACAGCTTTCAGCCAATCATTATCCACCTTGATCTCAGGTCGCCCACATAGATCATTTTCGAGATTAAAATCACCAGAACGGAACTTCTCAAACCATGGACATTACTGTGCATTAGCCACATCCTTCCCAAACACCTCGATATTTCGAGCTATCTGCACTGCATTGGTTCCAGGATGGAACTCATATTCAAAAATAACACAGATTTTTGACTTATCCATGGTTTCACAAAAATTGCTCTAAAAATTTTTTTGGAAGATAATCACAAGCCAAACCATTTGTTCAAAAGAATGAGGATATACCTTCACAATAAAAATAAAACAAGAAGTGTCAAAGTGAAATGTCAGAGATATCAACTATCAAATTTAGTACTTAAGGAAATTGGACATTTCATACTTAATAACCTAATATTAACAGCAGTTGCCTCTGAAGAATGGGATAGGGCTTTCAGGTTTTGTTTTAGCCATATACACATTATTTTGCTTCTGAATTCATCATTTGTTTACTTAGCAATACTTGCTGAGTACCAAATATTTTGCAGGGACTGTTCTGGGAATACAGTAGCAATTCGGTTTTTTTAAAAAGTGAGACTTCTGGAGCTTACATTTCAGTGGGGAAAACATGCAAATATAAACAAGAAAGGTAAACTGTATATTATGTTATAAAGTGCAAAAGAGAAACATACAGCAGGGAGACGAGACAGTAATGTCCCAGCAGCTGCAATTTTAGATAAGCCTCACTGAGAATGACACATCAGTCAAGAAACGAGGTTGAGGGGCACCTGAATCAAAAGCATTTGGGCACAGCCAACAGTAAGTGCAAATGCCCTGAGGCCTGACCTGTTCTGGAAGCAGGGAGGACGCCTGGAGCACAATGAACACCAAAGTGATGGGGTCAGAGTAGGGAGGAAAAGGTGCCACATGTCTTACCTGGCGTTGAAGGCCACCGTGGACTCTGAGTGTGATGGTGATCCACTGGAGAGTCTGGGAATAGAGGACTGATGTGATCTGACATTTAAAGCTCAACAGGAACACTCTAGATTGAGTGTTGCAAGTGAATGGAAAAAAGAAGAGAGCAAGGGCAGAGGCAGCGAGCTCAGGAGGAACAGCAATAATGCATGAGAAACACAGATAATGGTACTGTTTGCCAGGATAGCAGCAGTGCCTGTGGCCCAAAGTAGCCAAACTCTGGATTAGGTTTGAAGATGAAAGATTTGCTGTCAGATTGAATTATGTTGTAAAAAAAAAAAAAAAAAAAAAAAAAGACTGTCAATGGCATTTCCAACGTTTTTAATTTAGCAACCTTAATCCATCCAATTGCTTAGCAATTGAGATGGGGAAGTTTAGGGCAATGAAATATTTGGGGTAATCAGTTTTGTCTGAACCTAAGTTTGGGATATCTGGAAGATGTCCACATAGGCAGTTGCCAATGTGTGCCTGAAGTTGAGGGAAGGAAGATGGAATATATATATATATATATACACACATTTGGGAGTGATTTGCATATAGATGATCTTTGAAGTTGTGAGACTGAATGGGGAAACAAAGTCAACAGGTGTAGGTAGAACAGAGACCCCAGACCAAGCCCTGAGGCCTTGTAACAGGTGGAAGACAAGACACAGCCAGCGAAGGTTAGAAAGGAGAGTCCAGACCCGTGGGAAGAAAATTAGGAGAGTGCAATGTTCTGGCAGCCAAGGGAAATGGCTTCATT